CCTTGGGATCACCCATGGGATTCCCGCTACTGGGAAAAGGCGTTTTTGTTGGCGTGTGCATCTCTTGTGAGGAGAGGGGGATTCATCCGCAGCTTTGGCAAGGCTTGGCTAAGCCAGGGTGACCTTTATGGGCAGAAACGGCTTTATGTTGCTGCGCTGGGGGGAGAAAGCATCGATGGTGTCGGCTGCGTGTCTCCCTGCGCCGCCACCTTTACCCCCCGACATGGTGAGGGAAGCCCAGGAGAGCAGTTCTGGCCTCCGCGTTGGATTAAACGGCACCCGAGCACTGCTTCCTCGGGATTTGGGAAGAATTTAAGAGACGGATTTTAACAGGCCCGGCTCCAAGGTGAGGAGTCATCACCTATTTTTCCAGTTGCAAGCCACATGAAACGTAATGCATTAAAAAGTCGTCAGCGGCTGCGGCGAAGGACCGCTGCGTTCCCCCTGCCCGGCCGTTACCGCGAGGTACTGCCTTCTTAAAAAGGCTCCCTCTGTCCCCGGCCCTGACTGAGCGCCTCTTTATAAATATTTGGCATAAATGAATAAACTGTTGAAATTCCCCAGAAGGGGAAGGAAAAATTTCCGCAAGCAACATGTGGCAAGTGTGAGTCTTCAGGTGAAACTGCTCAGAGACTTGCGCATCCACAAATGGTCAGTAAACATCTGAATAAGGAAATCTCAGAAAAACGGTAAGTGATTTATTTTGTCAATAGATAGCAAAGAACTGAGGTACAGAAAAGAAAATCTCTCAAAATATCAACCACTTTATCGAGAAGATAAAGCACAATAAAATGTGGAGGCCATGGACTCCAGCAAAAACCCTCCTGTGAAACACAGCAAAAGCACAAATGTTAATTCTGATATTTGCATTTGCAAAAAGGACCTGTAAGAAAGAAAAAATTAAAAATATAAAATAAAATGAGACTAAGTGACCTGAACAATGGAAAATAAATCAACACCAATATAAAGTAAGTATGTCTTGTCATCTGCTGCTTTCCATGGCCCAAAGCTTTATGAAATACAGTGCTTGCTTGGCTTGGATTTGGAAAAACACAGTGTGCTTAAACTGTTATTTTTTTCAAATACAGATATGCCTAGAAAAAATACTCTAAAAATTCAGCAGTTCTCGGAATACGCGGACCAAGAAAAAAGAAAATTGCACTAAGAGGAATCATTTTGCCAAGCAGAGAGGGAGTGCAGGGCTTGCCAATTGTGTAATGTGTGATCGAAGGCGCCAGCACTTGCAGATATTTTAGGGAGCACCAGATCAGAAACGAGCGGTAACTTGGAGGAATTCCCAGAAAACAAGAAGCAATTGCATGAATAAATTGCAGGGCATTTTAGCAGTGCCAAAGGTGACATCTGAGGAAGAACCAGCTGAAGGTTGCAAGAGGCTGCTGCTTGCGAGTCTTCGGTAAGAAGCAGCAACCTTGGGATGCGCTGCACATCTGGAGTGAGTTGCACATCTGGAGTCGTCAAGTATGCGGTGCCAGATCTGCGGCAGCAGCCCTCGCTCACCGCAGCGCAGATCCACCGTGGCTTCGGCAAGCTGTCACCCAGGAAAGCGCCGGCCAAAGTGGGACCGGAGGAAATCGCCGGTGCCGGTGGGTGCTGTCCCCTGCCTGAGCAGGACGCTCCCTGCCCTGCCTCCGCCAGCACGGCGCAGCCTGGATTAAATACCCGGACTTTGGCCGAAGCCAGGCCTGCCCCAGCCCGGGGGGCACGCGGCAGTCCCACTCGCAAGTGGACTTTCGTTGCCGGTAAACCAGGAAGGATGGAGATTGGGCCGATCGCAGGCAGCTCTGCCTGCAGGGGGGCAGTTTTCTGAGCTGAAGGATTCTGGAGCGTGGCGCGAGTTGTGTCCCAGGTCCTTCCCTGGCTGCTTTTGGGGACCGGGCAGGGAAACTGCTGCTTCCCCATCTCACTCACTTTCCTCCTCTGGCCGTGCTGAGCTCCTCGTGTCCCTGCTGTAAATCTACAAACTGCCCGGCAGGCTCGACTGGCAGCTTCGGGCGCGCTGCCATGTGGCCTCTCCCCTGAAGGAAGGAGGAAGAGGAGGAAGAGGAGGTGATGGCCCTGGTGTCACGCTGCTGGCATGACTTAGCACGCAGGCACGGGAGAGGGTGCCATGGCAGGCAGCAGCGGCCTCCCAAAGAGGATCAGGCCCCTATGGCCAACAGGGCTGTGCTGGGGCGTCTGCTGGGACAGACCCACGCAGGAGGCCAGCAGCCACGCGTGGCCCCAGCCGCGCGTTCAGGCCGAGTCTGGTTTACATCTGGGCTTTCTGGAAGGAATTTGAAATCTCTCCTGAAGCGCGTAAGCAGCAGGTATCATTTGCTAACATCACAGAGATACTTAGCGGGACCATCGATAGCCAGTAACGTCCGTGAATCCCAACAAAAAGCCACGGGTGCTTGTGTCCTTCACTCAAGGAAGCAAAGCAGAGCAGCATCGGAGACCTCTTCTCCTCCAAGTTCAGCCAAAAGTGGCCAATAGGTTCAAAACTCTGTAGGGAGGGACAGACGGACGGACACACGCGTCAACCATCTCAGTAGGAAGGCACGGTCCTGCTCAAGGGGGAAATTTGTCCTCTGTGCCCCAGCAGCAGCTGGGGATCACAGCAGTCCAGGGAAGCGCAGCATCCTCCTTCCACATCCACGTCAAACCTCGTGAAGCAGAAAAGATTTTGCCGCCCAGTGACACCCCTGTGCCCCTACCAAGGGCAGGGCAGAGTGCAGGCCTCAAAACACTCAGTTTTTGCCTCGTTTTGCAAAATGCCTTGCAAAGATACACCAAGAAGAAAATCAGGATCGTTAGATATTTAGGGGAGAGAGGATTAGGAAGAGAGAAAAGCGTCCACCCATAAAAATGTGGCCCTTTTTAACTTCACACCTCTACTAGGAAAGTATCCAATTATTTCTTAAATGACCCTGATCTTTTTTGCCTCAGCCTCCCTGCCTGGTTAGCCATTTCACTTATTTATTATTCTTTGCATGAAATAATACTTCCTGACATCTGTTCCCATTTTGTTTCTCTTTTAATTTCCATTTATAGCACATTTTCCTATCCTCTGACCATGTTAAAATAAAACAATAAGTATGTTTGACATGGTGCAAGTTACTTAAGATCATGATCCTTCCCTGACCTTCATTTTTTTTTTTTTTTAAACATGCTCCAAAATGCAGAAAAACATTTTAATGAACTTTGATGAAAAAGCAAGTGGAAAGCTCAGAGAATCGGCAACCACTCAGTATTTCACACAGAGGAAAGGAACCGTTAATTCCCAATGCAGCGGTACAAATTGGCTTGAGCGATGCTTTCCCTTCTGACCAGGCAGATGGGAAAAGGTGCCCTTCCCTTGCTCTGAAGAGATTTTGCATCCAAGTACAATCTGGCAACTCCACAAGCAATAAATTCACAGGCAGAAGCGATAGGGAGTACTTCAGTTATGGCACAAGAACATTTTACGTTGTCGTCTCTATCTTGGTACAAGCCCTCAAAATAATTTTAGCTCAGGAGGAGGTGGCTTATGAAGCTAAAATAAAATGGAAAGAATCGATGTAGCCTCCAACCAAACGTGTGTGCCCACCTTCCGGTTAAGTAACAAAGCAGGACAGCGCGCCGGTGCCATCTCCAGCTGCTCCACCACCGTCTTCCAGACTACCGGGCAGTTCTGCGGTAGGGTCCATCATGCTCCACACCAGCGTTAGCCTGCTCCGAACAGCCCCTCCAGGTCCTCCCGCACGGAGAGGCCGGTAAGTGTGGTTCTAGACCCTGCTGTGACAAGGTTGCACCCCTGAACGGAAACATCTGAAACTGAAAACATTTCTGCTCGCTCCCCGTCAGTCGTCGGGGCAGCCGTTGCTCTGCGGTTTGGCGTTACGGCAGGGAGATGGAGGGGCCCGCGACCGCCGAGAGCCGCGGCAACCTGGGCAGCTCTGATCGCGATGCCCTGTGTGTGCCTCACCTGCCTCTGGAAGCTTTCTTCACACAACTGTTTTATCGACGGGGCTTTAACCTGCCAGGTTGCCAAGGGCATTTTCCTTTTACTCAAATTCCAAGCTGAACGCGCATACACTGGGTTTAACCTGGGGCTTTTTGAGGTCAAAACAAACATCACGACAATCAGGGCTTAGAGTTGCCAAGTTAAACTGTGCTCTGACAAAGCACCGGCCTCTCAAACACACCGTGCAGCTCGGTGCCAGGCTGCCCCAGGACAGCCCGAGGGCCGAAGGCTGAGCAGGGCAGATGCTCTTTGGGGAAGCCGGTCAGAAGTGGCTTTGAAGGCTGGCCAGCCGGTTGCTGGATCAGGTGCTCGGCACATGCAGGAGGGCTGCTCCTTTTGGGAAACCGGCACCTCCCGCCACCCCGGAGACGCTCCCCTCCTCGTCCCCTGGCTCCCCGCGGTGTCCGGCAGGGTGACTGAACGGGCCAGCGACGTTGGCCAGCTCACACCCGTGGGAACCATTTCGCCCGCAGCAGCACAGAGCCTCACGGTTACAGAAATGGACGTTTCTGTCTCTGCTCCCTGAACTCGCTGCGCTTCATCTGCTCTCCCAGGCTTTAAGCTCCAAGCAGGCAGAGTTCACGCGGGTGGATTTGTCCTACATAGCCCATGGTTTGGAAGGATAAACATGAGTCCCCCCTAGTCTGCCTCTTTCTTCTGCTCATTTCTCCCCTGCCACAACTGGCCAGTCTACCTTTGCTGTTCTTCCAGCCCACTATTTACAGCATCTGGAAGACTCAAAAATTGACTGAGGGGAAAAAGAGAAAAGCTACGCTCCGCTCAAAGGCCTGATTATGCAAAGCTTTATGTGAACGATGCTGCCACCGCCTTGGAGAACAGGCCTGGAGGAGGGGATGGAGAAACCTTCAGTGTGACTTAGCCCATACTTGGTTGTGAATGCATTGTGCAGTTATAATCGGGATTTAGCAATCATTACCTATTTTATGTGCAGAAACAGGAATTATGAAAAAGTACCAAAAGTCATTCGTTTTCTGAGTTGCAATCTCTTTATTTGGTTAAGTGGTCTGAGTCAACGAAGTCATGCTCTCCTCTATTTCTGAGAGTTTCTTCAGCATCTGGCTCACCTTGGCCTCGTCAAACTCCAGACAGAGAAACTCCGATTCCTACAAAACAAAATTGCAAGAACAGCACATGAGGAAGATAATGGTTTTTCAGGCATGCAATGGAGGCAGGATAGCGAGTTCTGGTTTCCTGACAATTTGTGTCCCGTGTCTCTCCTTTTTTCCTGGTACCACCTAAATAACCTCAGCAGACCCAGAGGTTGGCTACCCACTGGCGAGCGAGAGCAGCACGTGCCGGCCGGCCAGCAGCTGCCAAAGAGGACAGAGGACGGCTGAGCTCTGCCCACCTTTCCTTTCCACGCAGGCATCAGCTCGGGTCTCTCCTTAGCTGCAGACTTTTGCAAAACTTGCAAAAATTTAATTCTGTCTGAGACTTCCACTTTTCTTTCCAATCTGGTGATCCCCAAAGCTGTCGCTGCAGACGCTGGGGACTGCAACGTGGTTGGAGCCACCGCACAAAGCTCCTCAGGTATGAAGAACAGATTTTGTACAGGGGAAAACAAGAATCCAAAAGTCTTGTACAGGACATTCCAGCCTGGAAATTCAGGAGAGTTTTATATCGTCTTACACAGGGGCTCTAGTGTCAATATCAACTTAGAAGCAAGTTAAGTAGCAGCACTGATTCGCTCTGAAAAGTCCTGTCACATCTAAGTAGTTATTCTCACACAAGATGGATATTGGGATATAGTAAAAGGATCTTGTCAAAGGCCCAGAAATAAAGAAGATATATATAAAAAAGAAGAATGTATCTAACTATATGTATAAAGTTCAAATTATATGGAACCTGTTAATGAAGACCAACGTGAAAAGGCCTCCCAAGATCCCCAGCCCATTGGCCTTACCTACCGGTATGTCTATAGGTACAAAGGATTTCCTACAGTGAGCCTGGCAGAAGAAATGTTAGAGGTTGCCGGGAGCGGGGCTGTGTACTAAAGGTCATTCCCGGTGAAGCAGCATCAGTGATAGAGAAACAAATTGAAAATATTTGAAGATGAAAGTGCAGCCAGTATGGAGGGAGATTTCCTTATGAGACACTGGAATAGTTTCAGCACTCAGAATCACTGTATATCTGCTGAATTTCTATAGGTAACACAGACTCTGCGGTGCTTATAAAAGCAGAAGGGCATCTCCAGGTCTCATCTGTTTTCTACCAGGCTAAAATCTCTATCGTTATTTCAAAATATGTTTTTTTCCATACAATTAGCATCTACCCAAAACATCGCAACTTCTTCCTTTACATTTATAGAATTAATAGTTAATACACGAGGATAAAATCATCGGTCAAATGAAACCCATCAACTTTTACTAACCACATTTTAGGACTGTCACAAGGGTTTTCCCCTAGACATCAGGAATAGTTTTACCTTTTACTCTCTCTTGTTCTCCCAAGGCTTCATGGATTGTTTAATTCTTTGTATGAACCACACCAGCAAGTGAGATACAAACCAAAACGCTGACAGAAGAAGCAAGGGGATCATTTTGTCTGCAATTATCACAAAGGCACTGCCAGAAGAGTGCTAACGGGAAAGAAACGAGGTGCCAGAAGTCAGCGATCACGAAGCCGAGCATGGAAAAGTTGTGCCAGGGCTTCTGCCTGGACATCAGTCAGACAGGGAACCACCACAGTTCAAGGCAGAAACCCAAATGGTGATTTAAACCTCAAAACTTGAAACTTTCTAAGAAGGAAGACCTCATACAATGAGAGCAGTGAGCACTTTAAACTTTTTTTTTGTCTTCAAATATCGCTGTCTCTCCCCTAATGCTGGTACTCAGGCACTGGTAAGTCACTGGATGAGTCAGTCTTCGTGAAATGTTTATTATCTTATCTGCTAATGACCAAATCAGCCAACAGACCAAGGCGCAGAGATCAAGTTATGTATTTAGCATGTGGGTGCTTCTGATTAGAAAAGGTTTTGTAGAATTAAGGAGAACTTTGGTTGAATGACGCATCAGTAAAGCTCAGTAACAGCCACATAACTAAATATACACCACGTGGAGCACACAGACGGCTGTTAGGAAAGGCCTTTGCCTGAGCAAGCCATTATGCTCACAAACAGCGTCCTATTGGAAACTATTACTGTAGGTTGTGGGGTTGTTTCTTTAAATTAATTGTTCATCTCTAGAACATTACTTAGTACATTCCAAAACATCACAAAAGTAGCATTAAGCATTCAGGATCAATACCAACGCAGATACGAAAGCTAGGACTCGGAAGCAGGGGCTCTCTCGTACTGCTTCTCCTGTCCTTGACAATGGTTGCTGACACGTCTTATGGAAAATACCTTGTGGAAAGCGTAATTACAGCAAAGCATAATCACAGCTGGTTACTGTGCAGAAAGACAATGTTTGGTGAGGAATCTGACAGCTCAACTCCATTTGGCAGTGGGCTTTCTTCTATTTTCCTGTCTGAGCAGGAGTGCACTGAAAAAACATCTAGGTCAGATCTGCCTGAAGATGTGTTTGCAGGAGATTGCATAAGAAAGCCTGAATGAAACCCTGACATCGCTCTCTATACATTCCTTGATTAGGAAATGCTGGAAAAGTCAAACCTCAAGCAATCCGTCAGTTAACCCCTGAGGCTTTGTGAAGCATCGTGCTGAAACCAGATCACAGACCCTTGCTGGAATAAACCATTCTCCATGAAAATGAGCAGAAACGGGCAGCGCTGGCCCAACCAGTGCAACTGCTGCGAGTCGGGACTGCAAAGCCCATGCCTCTTCAGCTCCCCCAGCTCAATCTCCCCAGTTTTAGCATCCTTGTTTTCCCTGACCTGACAAAAGTTTTGAGCTGGCTTTCACGAAAGAGCTACTGCAGGAGCAGAAGCTTTTCTCACCAACCTAAAATAATCCCAGTATCCGTAACACGGTACAAGTCCTGTTTCGCAGACAACATCCGAAAACAGCTCTCCTCTCCACAACCTGACCTCCCTCTCCTCAGCACGTGTCTCGTGGCCATGGGCTGATTTCTACCTTTACCTTTTCGGGAACGAGCGGCGGCACCACGCCACGCAGCCCAGGGTCACAGTCCTCAACGGGACGAACTCCAAGGCCAAACTCCTGTTGACATTTCAGGCTTTCCAGCCACAGCTGCCCAGCCTGAGTCAGGTAAGCCCACCAGCAGTCCTCCCCAGGCCAGAGTTTGTCCATGTGACCTTTAAGGTTGGTTTTTTCTTAATCACATGGTGAGCGTGAGCAGACCAAAGCTCCCACCTCTGGGGGGAAGTTTTTGCACAAGCCTAAGGCATAAGGAGGACTTTTTTTCCCCCCTTCAGGTTTTGTCAGCTAAAAGGAATGTAAATTGAGCAAAAGGACACTCCTGGATTACACTAAATCGCTGCATGCAACTTTATACAAGTGTAAGTGTACTCATAAAGCATACCTTTATCTATAAAGGAGCTAAAACCTTCCTATGTGGGTTGGATGTGGACCAACCTAAAACATGACCAAGAGGGCTGTAAATCAAGCTGCTCAGAACTGGGCTTCAGTTTTATTTAATGCTTTGTTAGTTTATATCTTCCACAAAAAAGGAAGAAAAAATAAGATGGAGCTGTGAAACTCAACACTCCCCATTGCTCCCCCAAGGCGTCTTCCAGGAGCAGGACCAATTTGCTATCTCTGCTCCTCCTCAGCATCGCTTTTGATACCTCCTACTGTTAAAATTTTTTCAGCTCACTTGGATCCCTTGTAGTCAAGCAAAACGAAAATGGAACGAGTCATTCATTGCCTCGAAGGGCTGAAGCCCGGCACCCTTGCTGACCGGACCAGGACTTCGGCTGAGCCCTTCACAGCGATGGACGCGGTCTTTGGGAAAAGGCACGTGTGTGCGTGAGCGGGGTCGCTGGAGAGTGTCCGTGCACGATGGCAATGGCACGGGCATCCCCACCTTCAGGCTGGAAAGCCAAGCTCAATGCTCTCAGAAAGGTGTGGGAACGGACGTCCAGGTCCTGCGACCGTCTTGGTTTTCTCCCCACGTGCTTTCCCACCCCTCCTCCCGTTCCCCTCCCAAGCCTGGGCTATAAAAAGGAGCTGCAAAACAAACATCCAAGAAACACAAACTCCCCCAGCCTTGAATCAGGTCGTCTGGGTTTTTTTTCTTTTGCAGTAACAACAGAGCACTGCAAAAATATTTATATCAGAGACTAAGAGAAGCACAACTTTCTCTATCTCAGTAACTACACTTAAAAAAACACGTATTTTTAGAAAACTGATCCCCACACATTCAAAACTTAAAAAAATACAATTGTTCTCTGTTGCATCAGTTTGACCAGCTACTTAAAATCATTTCCAGCAACTTTGATACATCTGGTATTTTTAAGTTTTAGCCACTATATTGGAAAAAACAAAAAGAAACCCCTCTGAATCATAGAATCGTAATGGTTGGAAGAGACCTCAAAGATCATCAAGTCCAACCGAACTCACGTCTCATTTTATCCATATTCATTTCCACTTGATTCAGAGACCTCCTACAACACTCAGCGTTCAGGGAACTTGGTCACTGCCAGGACTGCAACGCAAGCTGGGGGTAAATTTGGTTTGGATCATGAGGTGTCTCAACTAAGGCTCGTTCCACAGGGCGGGGTGGTGGTTTGGGGCGTCTCCTGATACAAAAGTGAGGAATTCAGCTTTGCTCGCAAACGGTGTTGGCGAGGGAGATGCTGGTAGGGGCGCAGTCGGTGGGGTGCCATGCCTCACGCTCGCTGGCCCAAGGACAGTGAAGGTTGCTACAGGCAAACATTTGCCTACCCCGGTGGAAACACCTTGGACAAAGCTTTGAGAGCAGTAAGGAGAACCTCCTGCCAAGGGGTAGGAAATAAAAACTGCTCAGCGACTGAACAAAGACGCCATGGTGCTGACGACAGCCGTAACAACGCACAGCCTGGGTGGGTTCAAGGGACCAGGGGCTTTCTTCCATGAAATCAGAGCAGTGCTGCCAGGCAGAGAGCTGGCTGGCTACCAGGAGAGCAGGCCTCCATGGTTCAGCGGAGGTGTCACATGCAAGGGGAGAGGGAGCCAACTCCACCTTCACCCCAGGAACGCTCTACG